AGACAAGAATCCTGGTGAGATACTGAAAAATGGGAGAAATAATCATACATTCATAATTTTTCATAACCAAAGCTTTCAATCTGTGTAGATGGTATGGGACAAAATGAATAGTCTATAAACAGGTGTGGAGAAACTCATTCCTAATATTGCATTTATACTTATGTATATGTATATGCCTCCAGTGGCGCAGTGGGTTAAACCCCTGAGCTGCTGAAATTGCTGACTGAAAGGTCATCGGTTCAAATCCGGGGATCAGGGAGAGCTCCCCCTGTTAGCTTCTGCCCACCTAGCAATTCGAAAACATGCAAATCTGAGTAGATCAATAGGTACCGCTTCGGCGGGAAGGTAACAGCACTCCATGCCGTCATGCTGGTCACATGACCTTGGAGGTGTCTATAGACAACACTGGCTCTTTGGCTTAGAAATGGAGATGAGCATCACCCCCCAAAGTTGGACACAACTAAACTTAATGTCAGGGGAAACCTTTACCTTTACCTTTAGCACTTGAGAGTTAGGAGCGGAGGCCACACATAGCAAAGACTTACATCTGTGATTAAATCTTACCAGGGTGTAGGAGGGGGTGACCTCCCCCCTCTTTTTCCTGAAGTCATGCGGATGCCTTTGTTTACTTCACTAAATGCTCAATTGAAGCTCAATCACTTGAATGACTGCTGTGAAGTGCAGGGGAAAGGGAATGGGACACCGATCTGTGGTAGCTTGGGCTACTTCAATTTAGAATTGGCCCAGCTGTCCATACCAACCCAGAAATGCAGGGCTACACAGGAGTTTGAGGGAAATTCCTGGTTATTCCCCGACATCAGCTAATGCAGGGTAACTCAGATAACTGGTTTTACCACACATGTGCTGGAAATGCCTGGACGTCATGTGGATGTCCAGAAGTGACTTCTGACACAATTCATGATTTTGGGCCAGCGTGAACAGGTTCTATGTCAATTTACAACAGATTTAAAAACAATACATCCACAAATAAAATGATTGCAAAAACGTCCAAAACATCTTTCAAATAGTTTTTAAAGCACAAACAGTTAAAACAGCATCCCTGATCTTAAGGACTGAGGGCCATACAAAACATATATTAGCAGTCTTGCAAGAACTGTTCTGGCTTCCAGTTTGCCCAGAGCTTATTTCAAGGCAATGGTTTTAACTACAAAGCCTTAAACAGCATGTGGCCATGATAACTGAAAGACTACCTCCTCCCATTCTCTGTGCTGCTAATTTAATTAGGAATATTGGCTTTAAAACTCCTGGAGCATGATTGGGAAACGCCTTCGTGATGAAGTAGAGGACAAGCAATTCAGGCTACTAATTTTCTTCCTCAAGTCAAATATCTTGATGATTGCCTTCATCATTTCTTGGTTTGAAACCTTCACTGTTAAGTTTGTAAGAGCAGGGAAGATTAAGAATATTAGAATATTTATTGTTAATTCCTGTTTTTTTTTTCTAATTAGGAAGAACAGGAACTTTTTGAGATTAAAGCAGCACCCATTTCTATGGCATTTATTACTGTCATGGCCAAAATAATATTCTTATTGATGAATATAGTGGATGTATCTTTTCTTGTCCTGTTGCTGAGAATGTATAAAACTGGCAAATTGGTTGTTAGCATTTTCCAAGAAAATAATAACTAACTAACTAACTAACTGTAACTAAAGCTGGAATTTTTTGGAAGCCAGATTTCCAAATATAAGAATTAGTAGAGTAATTTGGATCAAGTATTTGGGGTGAAAACATATTGAATTACAACAGCCAATGGGTATGGTAACTGGTCATATTCAGATATTATAACCCGGAGCGGTAATGTTTCCAAGCTGTCAGTTTAAGATCCTTTTGTTCTAGGACTATCTTGAAATCTAGTATGGCTAGCCAAAGGTAAAATAAGGGAGAGCATGATAGCAAGGGTCATAGGGTAACCACCCTATGGTAACCACCCTTAAAGTGGTAACCACCCTTAAGTATGTGTCTATTACCTTTTTATGTCTATTACCTAGTATGTGTCTATTACCTAGTTATAATAAGCTCTGGTCTATTGGTCCTTGTTTATGTCTAGTCCTTCTTTATAAAAGCAATTTCTATCCTATTGGCCAATAGCACATTGAATGGTAACGTACAAGTTGTATAGGAAAGAATTGTTGTTTTTATTTGTTGTGCCAGTTGGGTCCCTTAGACCAGCCATGGGCAAACTTCAGCCCTCCAGGTGTTTTGAGCTTCAATTCCCACAATTTCTAACAGCCTACCAGTTGTTAGAAATGGGAGCTGAAGTCCAAAACACTTGAAGGGCCAAAGTTTACCCATGCCTGCCTTAGACGATCCTGATTCATCTGAACATTTAGCAGAAAACAGCCAACAATAGTGCTTTGTTCAACTCCTCTGATATTGGAAAATATGTCAAAAAAGTTAGTTATTATCTGTTTTCACCTTTGCCCAGAGATTAGCGTAAAGTACTTCAAACAGAAACTCCAATTGAAAGTTAATATTTAGCCAATTTAACTTAGACTACAATTGTTCTGTTCAGTGAATCCAAAGCCACTAAAAATGTGGTCACCCCCTTCGTGTGTGTTTGTGTGACTGCCTAATCTTTAGGAATCAATTGTCCTTTAAAACCTAATATATGTATTGAGGGGTGCCCTTGAGCAACTCTGCTTCTCTCTTTTTCCCTCTGAGCTACCACAAAAGCAG